GCAGTAAAGGAGCCTTGGCGGTGGTCGAGCAGGCACAATGCTCTTGGTCAGATGCTTGTGACCAATCAGCGCCTTGATAAACTTGCAGCATCGCGCGTGGACTTTGATGCGCGAGGGATGCTCACTGGCACTATTTTGTCGAGTGCTTTAGCTGCTCTTGGTAAGTTTGTTTAAATTTCTTTATCGAATTTCTCGCATATTCAATGGTAATGTACAACGGCAGATGAAAACGAACAAGTTGCCCCCGCTATGGCACCACAACCCCATGCCCCTGACAATGAACCGCAACCAGATGCCCCCGTCATTGAACCGCAACCAGACATGGACGATGGCGAAATTGTTGATGGTCCAACGGTACTTGCTTCTGTAGCACTCGCGAGAACTCCCCGTAAGTAACCTCCTGCAGTGTTTAAACTTGATCCTCACCACTGTATCACACAGAAAGAAAACGGGCACAGACAGTCGCAGCATTAGCACATGAAGTCGCTGTTCCAGATCTACGACGCCTCATTCGGTACTTCCTGTTCTCTCAGCTCAACCCAGATGATGCCCGCAACCCCGAAGATATCCCAGCTGCCGGCTTGCCTCGACATGAAGGCAAGCTTCAGGTCTTCAACTCTGCTGCCGCAACGTTTTATGCTCCCAGTGATCTGAGTGGCATTGGCGGCATGCGACGTGAGCATATCCGTGCATGTCCACTCTGGCGGAACGAGTACCCGCGCAATGATTGTGTGTTCATTAACACTGATTCAGATGCTGAAGGGATGCGAGGACTCGAAGTTGCGAGAGTCATATGCTTCTTTTCTTTCAAGCACGACTGGGAAGTATATCCATGCGCTCTCATACAATGGTTTGAGAAGATTGGTGACTGTCCTGATGAAGATACTGGCATGTGGATGGTCGCTCCAAGTTTTCATGAGGACAGCTCGAGGGACCTTGCTGTCATTCATATCGAGACGGTCTTCCGTGCAGCCCACTTGATACCCATCTACGGTTCTGAGTACATTCCTCCCTCCCTCAAGTTTTATCAGTCTCTTGATACTTTCGGCTCATTCTACGTCAACAAATACGCTGATCACCACGCGTTCGAGATAGCGTCCTGACTGGATGACATAGGTGGGTCCTCAGTTCAATTTTTGGTCCGTTGCTAATATTCAGGTCCTAGGACATTGCATGACGACAATATCCAGTCGCTGTTCCAGAAGGTCTCCCACTGGCTGTAACTCTTGCTCTGGCATTCGCCACCAAGAGGATGACGAAAGAAAACCTCCTGGTGCGCGTCTTGGGCTCCTGCGAGACGATGGCCAACTCTTCCATCATCTGCACCGACAAGACCGGTACTCTCACCCGCAACGTCATATCCGTGGTCGCAAGCCCACACAGGAGCTCTGGTTCGAATACCCTGTGTGACGATTTCAGCATCGATTAATCAATGCTCAACACCGTTCTGAGCCGGCCACTTCTTTCGCTGTTTAATGCGGCCATCGCTGTTAACTCTACTGCGTATGAGGACGAGGAGAAGGAGACTGGGAAGCGTGTGTTTGTGGGAAGCAAGACGGAGACGGCACTTTTGAACTTTGCGAAAGAACTTGGGTGCGTTTCTACGTCAAGGGTGCTAGCGAGATTTTGACAAAGTTGTGCAGCAGCCACGTTGTCGTAGAACAGAATGGGAGCTCTCGCCCCAGTACCGAGTCCAACGATGTCGAGGTGGCAGATATCGATGGCGTCTCGCAAGAGAACATGACGAGGACTATCATTTTCTACGCAAATCAGACTCTGCGGACTATCACCCTGTGCTATAGGGATTTTCCGTCTTGGCCACCACCAGGGATGCAAGGCACTGCGATTGACGATGTAGGTATATTTTCAGTGATATTTCGACATACTCATTTAGTTCTAGGTGCCCTACGACGTCATCGCCTAGAACTTAACATTGATCGGAATCGAGAAGCAGATCTTGATCCGGTCTGTCTACCGGATCACCGTCATCCTATTATTCCACTTCCTTGGCATCACAATTTTGGGCTATGCAGACACGTCGGGGAATGCCACCATTGTCCAGACTCTCGTCTTCAATGCGTTTGTCTTCGCTCAGATATTCAACTTGGTGAACTCACGAAGGCTGGACCGGAAGCTCAACATTTTTGAAGGCATGCTTAACAATTGGTACTTCATGGCCATTACTCTCATCGGTGAGTCGAGTCATGTTATACCTGGACTACCCTCACGGCTGGTTTGCAGAGATCGCTGTTCAAGTGGTCATCGTGTTCATCGGTGGCACCACATTCCAGGTGACACGTATTGCTGGTCGTAAATGGGGCATCTCACTTGCCCTCGGCTTCGTATCCATCCCCTTGGGCACGCTCATCCACCTACTGCCCAACAGACCCTTTGAACGCCTCTTCATCATGATGCGCTTACTCCCCAAACCCGAAGGCGGTCTTCTCAAAGTTCGCCCAGATGTTGAATGGAACTCTGTGATTGAACTTTTGCGTGACAATCTCGCCACGTTCGCTAACCTGCAGGGCGGGCGACTTCACTCGTCTTCATTTGTTGTGAAGAGCCATCAGGCTAGACTGCACGAAGATAAACGTGTTCCTCTGTATGTGTTGATGTTTAGTTTGTGAGATGGAATCCTTAATTTTTTCTAGCCCCTCGTTGATGACTATGATACCGACGCTTATTGCATCTTCCATCGGAGCTGGCTGGGCACCACAATCACGCGGTACACCGTCTGACCCTGCTCGTTATGATCCCTCAAAGTCCTCTGCTGCTCTCTGGGAAGGCAGGCTCCAAATTCATCCCGATACCAAGCCAGATGATGCACTGTATCGCACAAAATGGGGTGATGGCATCATGTGCGTTGTCTCTTGCGGTCGAGTTGTTCTCTATGCTGACGCATAGGTTTGCAGCTTTGATAGTGACTGGTGAATAAGCTTCTGGTTATCGTTTGGAAAGACGTACTGATGATGATGTCTCAGGAATCCCCATGCTGATCTTTAGGCTCAAGATCGTGCTCACCATATCGGCCAGACAAAGGCTGTCCGAATCCTCCGTTTCATCACAGGGAAGAGTGTCGAAGAAGCTATGTATGCTCGTGCGCGGTACAAGCTCGATATCGACGACAAGGTCATCCAAGCCGGTCGATTCGACAACAAATCAACATAGGAAGAGCAGGAAGAATTCCTGGTAGGTGTTGCAGCAGCTCTCTCACATAACGAATAGCTAAATGAGTGGTATGCAGCGGTCCATCCTCGAAGCAGATCAAGAGGAGGAGAACGAAGAGGCCGGTGACATGAATGACGATGAACTCAATGAGATTTTCCGCACGATGGATCTTCAGCGAGAACGGGATGCGTTGGACGCATGGCGTGCGATCAGCAACAGGGGGAAGCCGTCGTTACCGCTCATGCAGCTTGAAGAGCTGCCTGAATGCTATCAGACGGATGAACTGTTCGAGCCGAAGGAGATTGATGATGCTATCCAGGGCCATGGTCAGCGTCGTCGTAATGTCGTCAATTATAACAATGGTCTTAGCGATGAGCAGTGGGCGATGGTACGTCTAGTAGGATGTCGCGATGCATGCATGCTGATCGGGATGTTAGGCTGTGGAGGACGGTGAAGATTTGCAGGAACTCGTCGATCGTGCCCGTGGCAAGAAAGAACGACGCGCTGCCAACAAGCTTCTCAAGGAAACCGATACGCCTGGTCGTAGTACTCCAGCGTCAGACTTGGGTGTCGAGGTCGAGTTCACAATGGGGCATGCGAAGGTACGTGTTTATTCTATCTACTATACATTGATACAATGCTGACGGTGAATATTTGCGGGTCAAAGTCGCGAAAACGACACTATGAGGACCAGGTAAGTCTTCATTGATTAAGAGACATCCTAGGACTCACTTTAGGCTGGAATCACGAGCGACTCGTTCCGTCTCGATTCCTCTCGCCGATCCACCCCTTCACCCTTTCCCAAAGGCCCTTTGGCACCTCCGCATTCGCCTCTGCCTCCTCTGCTTCCGCCTCAGCCCGAATCGCCTCATTCGCCCTGATCGCAACATCGATCCATTGGCGCTTCCTCCCTCGCACGCTATCAAAAGACTTTGAAGCTGCCATTTACTTAACGAGATCTCGTCAATACGTCATACTTATAAGTACACTTGCACCACTTACTGTAGTTTTGTGCCTTGAAATAAATGTGTGTCCTTTTGATGCTTATCTGCGCATTATCGCGCTTGTTTGTCACGCGCTTTCTTTCGACTAAGACACTCAATCAAATAAATGTAAATAAGTGGTAAATAATATTTATTGACTGGCGGCAAGTCTCGAAAAAGGAAGTCAAGCAATGCGTGAATTTACTGATGTACTACACTAAGCTATACTCATGAGTCAAAAGTGCATCAATATCATACCCTGATGCACTCTCTGAGCTTTGATTGAGTACATTGATCTCTTCAACAAAGCCAGTTGGCACCGTGGATACCTTCTGCCCCATCATTTTCTGACAGTTGGTCAATCCTGGTGATCAGAGTCTGCTGCAAGGGGAGGAATCCATGCAAACGACCTTTGAGTTGACTTGGAAGTTGCAGAAGCAATAGATCCGGGGATAGAATTGATAGAATTCAGCCTTGATTGCATTTTTTGTAGTGAGCCACACTAGGCACGAGCATGCCCGATGATCATATTTTTCAGTCAATTAGATGGATGCTGTTGTGCCGAGCAGCAGTTGCATGTGAGAAAGTAGTGATTTGAGTTGTTTTTGACCAAATTTTGACTTTCTCCCCAGTAACTACTAACAAAGTGGTTGGACACAATTTTTTGGACAGAATGGCCCTTGGGCTTCTAGGCCACATGTCATATTTTTATTGTTTTTTAGTAGGAACAAATACTAGTTCAGCGTATTTCTGCCGACTTCTGCCAACCACCCTTGACCTACTGCCGGCAATTGCCGCTTGGCAATTGCCACTGGCAGAATGGCAGCATTCTGCCAACAACACTACCAACATCAAACTTCTTTTTGACAAGCGAAAATTGTGGGTCTTTTGCTGATGTAAAATAGCAGACTCATGGTCGGTGCTTTGCGGAAGGAATGTTTTTACGGCAGAAGAGTTTTTACTAAAAATCTTTAGCACGCCTAAAGAAACCATATAAAAGCAGGTGGCTCGTATCTCAATCCTTAGCCATTGCCCAACCAACTCTCACTTTTCTTCTCTATCTGCTTGCTCATGATGACCCACAACGAGCTATGGTTAACTTATCACCAAGCATCACGCTGCAACAAGCCAGCGACCACTCAGTTGGTGGAACTTGAGTTTCAGAATGAGAAGTTAACTGACTTGGAAGATGTGCTCGAGCATTTATTCCGTCAGGGATTCGTCGAGGCCCAGCATCGGTCGCTGTCATATTGGGAGAACCACAGCGGGCAGCGTCTCAACCCAAGTGATGCCCTGGAAGAACTGCTGACAGAAGGTGCAGGCAAATGCCCCCAGTCTGCTCTTAGGCTGGTCATCGGTGAGTAATTAGTTTTTGACGCGAAGATTGGTCCTTACCCCGGGAAGCCGATTGTCCACCTCATGTGTGGTTCAGCTATGTTTACACTCACAAGAATGTGACGCCCGCCGTGACGCAGCGCGTTAAATTTTGCCATGCCCAGGAGGCAAAGCTGGAAATAATAGCCCACCTCACCAACCACATTTTCCGTAATGGCTATCTCCCCGCACGATATCGGACGGTTGTGACATGGCAAGGGGCTTGTGGAAGGAAGATAGAAGAACACGAAAAGCTTGATGCTCTGCTTACCGCAGGAGAGGGTCTCTCTGAAACTTCGCCCCTGCGTCTCATTATAGGTAAGACTCGTAGTTGCCAGTTTTCCTGAGGTTTTCGCTAATGGTGTCATAGATGCCACCCACACGCATGCCGAAACATGTCATGCAACTGGTCACTAGGAACGAGAGTTGGTGACCATTTTATGGAGGGAGTCGGGCTGGTATATATTGCTCCTTATCGTGCTCTGGAAAGCACTGTGACTTTGAGCTATGATTGGTAGTTGTGGGTGTTTTAACGTTGAATGCCAGATTGTGAACTGCCCGTTCGAGTTGCACGAAGGACTGCCAATGATCATGGGTAAATTGATGGTCCTGCATAATTAGAAGCGTTGAAACGTTGAGGATGTTGAGCGGAACGTTGGCAATCACGTACCTGATGTACAGTTCTTAGTCATCCATCCAATTTGGAACGGGTTAGGGCCGGCGTGTACGTGCCTAAGACTTGCCGTAAGCCATCTCTTTCACAGGCCCCTTGCAGGTAGTCCATCATCATCCCGGTTATCTTCCTTTCGTTACATTCACGACAGTGGAGTAATTTATCCGAGGTTGTGCCACGCTCAGCTATGGCGAAGAGGCATTACTCGGCTCTATCGCAGCCCACCCTCTCAATGAGCGAGCTGATATGCAAAACCCTCGATCATGATGCTACAGACATGTTAATCGACAAGTGGCTTGAGCACCGCAATGATGCGTATTGGGAATGGTTTCAAGGTGTCAGAGAGCGAAAGCATGCCGCAAACTCTCTCAGACGCCAAGTCCTCGTCTGGAATAAAGGAGATTTTCTTCCAGAAAACATCTTCTGTCGCACAGTCGACACCGGTCGTCTGATTCCTCTGGATCGCACCTGGTCGACACATGTATATCACCACAGGTCAATGCAAGACCGAAAATTGTCCATGATGCCTGTTGTATTTACTATGGTAAGGACTTAGCTGCTAGATCTTGATCAATGTCACTGATGATAATCTTAGCTGCCTGAGCTGATGATGCTCAGAGGGATGCACGACATTGGCTGTGACGATGTCTACATCATTGTTACAGACATGAAACGCCAAGAGATGGACGATGTAACAGAATACTTCAACCTTGTTTGTCGACATGCATTCGGGCGCACGTGTAAACCTAGCGTGGAGAACGAGATCCAGTTCAATCGTTTGTGACCATCAATCCGTTACCAGTCTGCATGTTGACATTGATTTATGGGTCCTAGATATGCGTTTGAGCCATACTCTCCTCAAACAACGACGCACACCATGTTTTCCTCAGATTGATATCGCTTTCCGAGCCATTCTCCACGAGAAACGACCGCCTTTCATCATCTTATTCTCCCATCAGACCACTTCCTATTCCCAAATTTTATTCACACACCCACTATTCGTTCCATCAGAAGAAATATTTTTTGACTTTCCTAGTGGTTGTCCCAACCCGTGCTGTAACGACGACTGCGAAATGATACGCTTTCCTCGTCGTGGCATTGAAGGTGCAGTAGTATTGTCGATAAAACGCGGTCGTCGAAATGGGAGGAAGGTGAGATCTCGGGAGATGTGCAACTGGATCGACTGCAGCATTTGTTTCAACGAAGAAACATCGCAGTACGCCGAGAGTAGTGAAGGATCGCAGAGCAGCGCCGACAGTGGGGATACTCCGAACAATAATGGACTTGTGTGTAGCAAGTGCCGGTTGGTGAAGTATTGTTCTCCTGAACATCAAAAAAAGGACTGGGAAGAGCATCGTCGGGTTTGCGCTAAGTCAGCTGCTATCATCTGACTGTACCTCGTGGACAAGCTCTCGATTTTTTCTTCATTGGAAGACGTTAATATTCTTGCTATTGTTGTACTGTGGTCTACTGCATTTTTATTGTACGCCGGTCATTATTTTTCACTGTCTGCATCTTGTTGTAATTGCCATCACTGATGTTGTTTATCGATTATTCAATATTATATTTGGGTTTGGACTTTCTGCGAATTTCAACTTCCCACATTCCCTCTAGAAATCAACCTATATGTCCATCCGTTACCTTACCGCGCAGCTGGCCCAACAGGTGCATAGAACATTCAACATTATCGTTGCGTATTAACTACGAGCTCATCCGAGTAACGGGCAGATTGATGAGGAGCTTATGAATGCTGTTGGGGCGTTCAGTTTGGATCAGGCACGGGGCTCCAGTCCTGTATCAGCATACGATACTCAAGCATAACCCGTATTGCAGTTGATGGAGCTGGCTGGGTTGGCCTGCGCCCAAACGCTATCTACAGTGTACAGCAAGGAAAAGTATCCGAAAGTCTTGGTATGTTGTGGACCAGGAAACCAAGGAGGAGATGGATTGGTTGCGGCTAGACATCTTGGTATGCTCTTAGAGTGACCCACCCCTTGCTCCTGTGCTGATTTTTCTCAGGGATGTTTGGTTACAAGCCAACGATATACATGCCCAAGGTAAGTCACATCCACCTAGTGAAGTAACAGTCTCGAAATGTAACCCCTAACAGCCAGGCTCAAAAGACATCTATAGGGTTAGTCCACATCGTGAAGTGTTGTTCTCTATCTGATACAGCTTCTTAACGGGACTGGTAGCGCCTGCAAAAACAATGCATCAACATGGACATCCCCATCGTTCCACCTGCAGCATCTGCTGAGGAGCTGCCTCACCTCCTTCAGTCCTCGAACCTTATCCTGGACGCCATTTTTGGGTTTTCGTTCAAACCGCCAGTGCGGGCACCGTTTGATGATGCACTGAAGCTTATATCTGCATCCGGGCTCCCGATTGTCTCGGTGGATATTCCAAGTGGATGGGATGTCGAACTCGGAAATGCAGAAGGCGTCGGGTTGAATTCTGACGTCCTGATCAGTCTGACAGCGCCAAAGGTAGGAGCGAAATACTTCAAGGGAAGACATTTCCTCGGAGGGCGTTTCGTACCAAAGTAAGTATTGACAAGTTAAATGCTGGAATGATGTCCATACTTGCTGTCAGGGCAATGCAGGAGAAGTTCCAGCTCAACCTTCCTGAGTATCCTGGATTCGATCAAATTGTGGAACTACCGAGGAACTATATAATGTAGCTTTATCTATGGTATTATGACATGGGTAGGAGTGATATGACGGTTGCACTGTCAAATATGAATGCACCCATCAGACAAACGACGCCGCTCACGGCATGATTTAAATTTTCCTCTTTCCAGCTTCCTACGATATTTACATGATGGTTTCAACTCGTCGAGAGCTTCATGGGTATACAACAACGATAGCGGACACCACAGGATGAAATTTGACGACTCAATGATTCCTATGAGTGTATGTCAGTACAGTACATAACTTAAAGTTGAACCATGCTCTTGATTTTTGAAAGTATTTCTTGTATCTTTGTGTTACCTTTGTGTGTCAGCGTTTGGTTCCCGTTTGCTTTCCTCTATAGCAGTCGGACCGGCTTTGGGAGATTACCGTTCACTATTACTTTTGCAAGTCATCCAAACTGTATGGTCCCCCTAGTGCGAGCTTTATACGTTTCGGAAACCTCGCGGTGTAGTGAAACTGCTACATACGTGACGGAACTAAATGGTAGTTGGGTGATTGGGTCGTGAGTTTTTGGTTATATCTAGTTGTGTGCTCATTGCGAAGGCGAGCCACGATCATTCTTTAGAATTCCTCAAGGAGGTATGCATGTTGCTTTGCGAAGGTCGTTTTATGATAACAAGACATCTCGCCAGGTTATACATTGGGGCAGATCGTAGAAGCTTGCACTCGATTTCAATCGGAGACAGTACATAAGGATCCCATCCACGTAACCGCCCATTTTCTTCGCGCGACGAATGTTGGGCCTGCGGAAGTGCGCGTTAGTGTCCAGAAGATAGGGAAAAACTTTACAAATCTTTTAGCGGATCTCGTCCAGGGAGTGAGTGACACACCCGCTCTCCGTGATTGTCGTGTGGTTGATCGTGTGAGCAGGGGCACACCAGACTGACGTCCCATCTTATTTTTGGTGATCTTACTCCTGTGCCGGGGGAAATTCCTCGCAGTTTAGCAGCACCATCTCCATATGCTCGACGCCTACCCCTGCACGATCATCCTTCTGCGGCCGTCCGAGATAGAATGAGGCATGTCTGGAGGTTCCACTCTCTTCTGAGTTGGTCCATAGACCACACCATTTTGGCGTGCAATGCTATGCGTAGCCAGACCCGAGTTGATACTGAAATCATAGGTGGAGGAGGCGTCGAATGGGGTGCATGGTGTGAGCTAACCAGACCAGAAGATGAAATAAAGCCTTCATCTATTCCATTTTTCGGGGACATGTTTCTCAATATCCCTTCCCTCCTACCTGACTCAGAGCCAGCTAGTCACGGAACATTAGATTGGTTCGTTCGGTCCTGTATTCTAGTCACGTAGCGTTGACTCCCTTCTCTAGTTGGTTCCCGACCGTGACCATGACAGTCGAATTCAAGGCCCGTATTCCCTCATCTCAGGATTATGCTTCTCGAACGGTCGGCTTATATAGCGAATCACGTTTTTTGACTGATCCCCACGGAAGACATAATGCTCGCGTTGAAGTCTGGACCGCCCCTTCTGCAATTGGCCAGGGTAAATTAGAAGCTGGTTGGAGGGACAAGCAGTACTGCATTGCAGTTGTTGACCAAATGGCCCTCACTCTGCCTATGGACCTCAATCACCGTCAAGGCAGCAGAAACAAAGTGATCACTAAGCTGTAGACTACTAACCGGTGATACGGTGGTTTCGAGAGTCGAAACATATTTGAGCTGGACTTAGAGTTTCCACGTATTTCCGTATGGTCGGAATGCAGCTATCGCCGGTCGTAGGCATATGTATGGACACTGTGGGATGTTGCAACGTCACTCGGATCTCGATGTCTGGCTTAGCCGTATATCCAAAACTCCATATTTGTCTCTGCGGAGAGCCTGGAGCACAATTCTTCCCACCGACCGTGAAATCCGTTCTCAGGATTAACCGAACGAGGGATTGGCGCAGTAACCAGAATTGGCACGTGTTGTTGACGTTCTTTGTCCTGCTCAGACCGGACACATGGAAGCTTCGCTATCTCTGTCTTGCTCAGACCCAGAAGCCTCTCTATCAGAGACGGTTATACAAAGCTCCGACTCACCGACCCTGCCTTGCCTACAAGCTTTACCATCATCCTGCCAGGGGCATTGATGTCACGGTGTGTTTGCAAGCGAACATGATTACTAGTGGTGACTATTTCATGACAGGCAGGTGTCATGGTACGGGGAGCGATTGTTGTTCTGATAAAATATCAATAGGTTCGCACTCCTCGGATCTCACACTTCTCTGATCTTTGCTCGCATCTGGAATGCCCCGCGTTCGTGCCTGCACTCATTCTGATGAAGATCATTGTTGTCATTGTGGTTCCTCGGAGCACGGTGGATGCTGTGATGACATGTCAATCGACAAGGTTATTTTTGGGAGGCTCTCCCCTTGAAAAAGTCTTTCTTTCCCTCTTAGTGCTTCACAGCATCAATATACTTATCCTCCGGCTACTAGTAACGCCTAGAAGCCTTGGACCACCTCCAATCCGACTTATATAAGGTGTGTCACTCGACGCAGTTATCTTCACTTTGTCTTCCCAACTTTTATCTCAAACCACTCAAACCATGTCACACGTCGTTATCCGTGGAATCCCCTTTGCGACTCGTTTGCGCGCAGCCAAAGGTGGTGCCAAAGAGCTTCTTGAACGCGACCGCGCCCGCGCACAGAAGTTCCTGGCTGGCAAGTCCCACCATGCCTTCGTTGCTGCCAAAGCCAAACACGCCAGCAGTACTGGCGCGAACTCTAGCATCGATGTCACTGATTCAGGTGTCACTTACACTACGCAAGTCGGTGTTGGAAGCCCAGCGACCGATTATACATTGTTGATCGATACTGGTTAGTGGAATATTAGTGACGTGAATGAATTGGCACTCATTTATATGTCAACGATATTCCAGGTAGTTCGAATACTTGGATTGGTGCAGACCTGCCATACAAACCCACAGGCACTAGTCACAACACTGGAAACACTATAGTGAGCTAGCTGCTTCCAGTGTTACGATGCTGTTAACAGACTGGTCTGGAATCTAGAATGTCAGCTATGGTTCGGGAAGTATGTCCGGAAAGGAATGTAAGGACTGCTTGTTTCGGCTACAATCGCACCAACTAAATGTAGACCAGACACCGACACCGTGACCTTAGGGCCAGACTTGGTTATCCAGAACCAAGGCATCGGCGTGGCTTCAACCGCGCAAGGGTTCGAGGGCGTCGATGGTATATTGGGGTAACATCTGGTTTGAAAAGTAATGACTCGTAGTGCTGATGCCTTTGCAGTGTCGGTCCGGCAGACCTTACACAGGGAACCGTGTCTAACACGACGGAAGTGCCTACGGTTACCGACAACTTATACGCACAGGGAACAATCTCTTCCAATTCACTCGGCATCTCCTACGAGCCATCCTCCACGGCTAACGTATCTAATGGAGAGCTCACATTCGGTGGGACTGATAGCACCAAGTTAGAAAACATCTTTCTTTTGATTCTGACTTTGTCTGACATCATATGTCAGGTACACTGGCACACTCAATACTGTTCCGCTTACCACCACCTCTCCAGCCTCGGCGGTAAATCACAGCCTGACTGAAAATGTACTGCTTACTAATATTGACGATCATCCATCGTAGTATTGGGGTATCAATCAGTCGGTATCGTACGGCACTAGCCAAACAATCTTGAACACGACTGCCGGCATTGTGGACACTGGCACTACCCTTCTTCTCCTTGCCACTGGTATGCACATGTCCCACTGTGATATTTGTTACTCACCGAAATGTGCAGAGGCTTTCCAGGCCTATCAGAAGGCAACTGGTGCCGTCGAAGACTCGTGAGTTGAGCTCGATGAGCCTAAGATGTTCTGTTATCTTATGTGGATCAGGACGACAGGTCTCCTAACCATCACGTCGGCACAATATGCTAAACTTCAAAGCCTGTACTTCAATATTGGCGGTGTATGTTTTTCTCTCGTATGATGAACCTCTGGTTGATTATTGGAATAGGTCACCTACGAGTTTACGCCTAATGCTCAGATCTGGCCACGTGGTCTGAACAGCACCCTCGGAGGAAATGAGGGACAGATCTATCTGATCGCGTCTGACCTTGGTTCCTCAGTGGGGAGCGGGTTGGATTTCATAAGTACGTCCCATGATATCTTACTGGGGCCTTGGTCTTACAACTATCATGCGTATTCCAGACGGATTCGGCTGGATTCAACGCTATTACACTCTCTTTGATACCGGGAACAAGCAGCTCGGTCTTGCGACAACGGCATACACTGATGCTGATACCAACTGATGATAGTTCACGCAAAGTTCTCACATTATTTTCAAGTTTAATTTGAAATAGTTTCAGGCGTGTACTAGTATTTGCTAGTAAATATTCTAGAGAAAATCATCTTTGTCATCAGCATTACATTACCACAGTCAGATGTAACACGAAGTCTCAGACTGAAAGATACGATCATTAGCCTGGGTACGGTTGAAAAGTTGATACTTTTCAACAGCTGCCTGTTAATGACTAGTGTTGATAACACTGTTGAAAATGTCGGAAATTTCGACGTGAGGATTTCGTACACAAAGTAACCAGATAGGTTTATAGCTGATTCCGCCAGTTTATGTGTAAATCAGGTGAGATGAGGTTATGTAGAATGGGACCTGTGTTGGTGTGGCGGCGGCGGAGGTCAAAGTTCCGTTGTGCACTCAGCACTGTACCACCAAGGTCACGTGATACGTCACGGGGCGGATGTAGAACAGCTGTTGAGTACCACCGCCATGACCAGCACCTGCTAAAATTCAAACTCCTCGCTTCGCCTGCCAAATCACTTCGAGATCGACCAGCCTGGGTTCGCCGATCGACTTGTCCGTGGCGTATAAGCCAGGTGGTCACGAGCCTAGGTTACTCTGACACATTCAGCATTAGCGCATTTCCCAGTGATTTTTATAAGAACTTCTACTATCCACAGTGATTGGCACCTACAAGTTGTTGACCCTCTCTGTTTTGCTCAGACTGTACATATGGAAGCTTCGCTATCTCTCTACCTCTGTCTTGCTCGGACCAGATGGAAGCTTCGCTGTCAGAGACACGGCGATACAAAGCTCTGGCTCATCGACCCTACCTTTCCATGCAAGCTTTACCATTATCCGGCCAGGGTCACTGATGTTTGTTTTCGAGCAAACATGACTAGTGGCTTTTTCATGACAGATCGGTGACATGGTACATAGCTTCGGACTTCTTGGATCTCGCACTTTTGCATAGTATCTCTGGTCTTTGTTTGATCTGGAGTGCCCCTTGTTCGTACCTGCACCCATTCTGATGACAATTGCTTTTGCATTAACTTGTTGTCATTATAGTTTCCCGCCAAGCTACGATAATAACTATGTTGATATTTCAGTCGACAAGGTTATTTTTGGGAGGCTCTCCTCTTGAGAGGGTCCTGCTTTCCCCTGGCAATGCCTTACAGTATCAATATATCCTCCGGCTATTAGTGATGCCTACAAGCCATAGCACCCATCTCCAACCAGACTTATATAAGGAGTGTCACTCGACGCAGTTGTCTTCACTCTGTCTTCCCAACTTCCATCTCAAACCACTACCACTCAAATCATGTCACACATCGTTATTCGTGGAATCCCCTTTGCGACTCGTCTGCGCGCAGCCCAAGGTGGTGCCAAAGAGCTTCTTAAGCGCGACCGCGCCCGCGCACAGAAGTTCCTGGCTGGCAAGTCCCACCATGCCTTCGTTGCTGCCAAAGCCAAACGCTACGGCAGTACTGGAACAGACTCTAGCATCGATGTCACTGATTCAGGTGTCACTTACACTACGCAAGTCGGTGTTGGAAGCCCAGCGACCGATTATACATTGTTGATCGATACTGGTTAGTGGAATATTAGTGACGTGAATAAATTGGTACTTATTTATATGTCAACGATATTCCAGGTAGTTCGAATACTTGGATTGGTGCAGACCTGCCATACGAACCCACAAGCACCAGTTACGACACTGGTAACACCATAGTGAGTGAGCTAGCTGCCCCTAGTGTTACGATGCTGTTAACAGACTGGTCTGGAATCTAGAATGTCAGCTATGGTTCGGGAGGTATGTTCGGAGAGGAATGTAAGGACTGCTTCTTTCGGCTTCAATCGCACCAACTTAATGTAGACCAGACACCGACACCGTGACCTTAGGGCCAGACTTGGTTATCCAGAACCAAGGCATCGGCGTGGCTTCATACGCGGAAGGGTTCGAGGACGTCGATGGTATATTGGGGTAACATCTGGTCTGAAAAGTAGTGTTTCGTAGCGCTGATGCCTTTGCAGTGTCGGTCCGGCAGACCTTACACAGGGAACCGTGTCTAACACGACGGAAGTGCCTACGGTTACCGACAACTTATACGCACAGGGAACAATCTCTTCCAATTCACTCGGCATCTCCTACGAGCCATCCTCCACGGCTAACGTATCCAATGGAGAGCTTACATTCGGTGGGACCGATATCACCAAGTTAGAAGACATTTTTAGCTTTATTCTGATTTTATCTAACACCACGTGTCAGGTTTACTGGCACACTCAATACTGTTGCACTCACCACCACCTCCCCAGCCTCATTGGTAAATCACACCAGCCTGACTGAAAATGTACTGCTTACTAATATTGACGATCATCAATCGTAGTATTGGGGTATCGATCAGTCGGTATCGTACGGCACTAGCCAAACAATCTTGAACACGACTGCCGGCATTGTGGACACTGGCACTACCCTTCTTCTCCTTGCCACTGGTATGCACATGTCCCACTGTGATATTTGTTACTCACCGAAATGTGCAGAGGCTTTCCAGGCCTATCAGCAGGCAACTGGTGCCGTCGAAGACTCGTGAGTTCAGTTCGATGAGCCCATAATGTTCTGGTATCTTATATGTGGATCAGGACGACAGGTCTCCTAACCATCACGTCGCAGCAATACGCTGAACTTCAAAGCTTGTACTTCAATATCGGCGGTGTAAGTTTGTCTCTCGTATGATGAACCTCTGATTGATTGTTGGAATAGGTCACCTACGAGTTTACGCCTAATGCTCAGATCTGGCCACGTGGTCTGAACAGCATCCTCGGAGGAGAGGAAGGACAGATCTATCTGATCGCGTCTGACCTTGGTTCCTCAGTGGGGAGCGGGTTGGATTTCATAAGTACGTCCCATGATATCTTACTGGGGTCTGTGTCTTACAACCATCATGCGTATTTCAGACGGATTCGGCTGGATTCAACGCTATTACACTTTCTTTGATACCGGGAACACGCAGCTCGGTCTTGCGACAACGGCATACACTGATGCTGATACGAACTGATGACAGTCCCCGCACCGTTTTCTGTCGCGGAATTATCTTATTTTGACGATCACAGAGGACTTTAAGCTACCTATCCAATGTATGTAAGTTTACTTGTAAATAGTTTCAGGCGTGTAGTAGTAGTTGCCATGGCTAGTAAATGTACCAGAGAAAATCACATCTTTGTCATTAGCATGACCTGTGGGATGTAACGCCAAGTCTGAGAGATTGGATATCATGATCGTAGCTGGCTACATACAGCATCATGATCGAATACTGGCGGGGCCACTGCAGTGATTTGTTAAGTCAATTTGCGGACCTTCACCTCTAATTCGGAGCGTTTGACTACGACATCTTCGTGCTGAGAGTCAGGACTATATTACCGCAGGTGATTCGAGCATTTCCCTATATATGCAATTGGTAATGCAATTTAAAGTTACTGTCGACCTCGAGTGACAGCGAAATGCATGTGTTCCTAAGGCCTAAACCCTTGACAGGAATTTCCAATCTACTAGCAGCGCATCATAGTCAAACGCCTCTGGACCCTCGCGATCAGTCGATCATTAAATGGTAGTAGCATTGCGAGAGTCACCCCGAAGTGGTCGGTTTGGGACAAAGTAGGGACACGGCAGGCCCATCGGCACAGCACATCGGCACAGCATCTCCAAGCGGAGCATGAAAGTTGCCCTCAGGTGCCGTGTCACGCGTCACTGGACCACGCTGAATTCGACTGCAGACAATTTCTAGATTGATCATCACACCTTAACATTTCCTAGGCGTCGTTCTTGCCCAGGCCGATGACAGGTACTGCCGTACGGCACATTTGGTGATCTGATCAGCATCGGTGTCCTTAAGCATACGCTTATCCACTGAGCACTGGCCCAGGCTGCTGCCGTGCCACGACAATGAATCAGACTCTGTATCTTGCAGAATGACAGCGATGACAAGGTAACTGTATAACTTCTACAAGTCTTGTGCGCTGCACGTCGCTTTACCAAGTGCAGCCGTGATGCAGACTCAGTACACAGGCAGACGAAAGGGCATGGAAAGATGTTGTCTATATCAAATGCCAGCGTATTTTTTTGCTAATACCTATTACCGAAGTAGAGCTGATCACGAACAAATTGACGGTCCAGTGTGACTGTGTGACAGCTGACCAATCTTGCAGCGCCACCGCCTCGCGTGAAACTGCCACAAGTCCAGACGCGACCCCAGAAGTTCTAAGTCCAGCCCATCCAGAGTTTGAAATCGGCACGGAATACGTGCGGGACGGATCAGCGGACGCCGTGGGCGGCGAAAATCGACGGTTTTGAGCTGCGGGAGAGCTCCAAAAGCTGCTGGACGGATCAGAGGGTGCCTGGGTGAGCAGGTGAGCACAATGTAACATGCCTAAGGGAAAATGCCGACACGCTAACCGAGGGACTGCGAATTTCGCACATTAGGACCGTCAATCTTCCGTTTGCACCCACCTTCGGTTTGGGTGGTAACCCGACCTCTCCTCCCGCCAAAAAAACCGCGCTGCATGCTGCTATACTGCAGATTGACGGTCCTCGGATTTGCAGTCCAGGACCTTGGCTGGTACTGCCACCGGCGCTTATGTACGCATTTCGCTGTAGGTAAGTGAGTCTCCTGTTCTCGTTCGGCTCCCCATCTCCTCCACCTATCTAGCAGCTGTGCTCATCAGCCCTTACTGATCTATAATTACATTTCTAGCGTGCTCGTCGTGATGGGCATCAACGACTTATGGGAGGCACGTCCTCCCCATTGTTCACTCGCCGGGTGATGACAACTCACCCCGTTTTTCAGGTCCTCGAACCTGCTGCAGCAACCGTGCCCCTCATCTCTCTCGCCATCCAGGGCCGCTACGAGGGACCCGCACCGCATGTGCCTTATGTTGTGGGCGTCGACGCAAGGTTCGTGTTCTCCCGCTCGCTGTCTGTGCTTGAATACTCACGTTTAAATCTAGTGCGTGGTTCGAACAATGCCAGCAGGGCAGGTGGCACCGTGCGCATGCTCAGACGGGCCAAAATCCTGCCCTCCGCACATTTTTATTTCGCCTCGCTCGCCTCGCCCGTCTGCCAGTCCAGCTAGTCTTCGTGTTCGACGGCAACCAGCGACCGCAGATCAAACGGGGCCACAGGGTATCCACCAACGACCATTGGATGGTCAAGCCTACGCAGCGACTACTGAATGTGTTCAATGTGCAATGGATCACGGTATGTTTTTTTCTTATTATTTTTTATTCACACTTTTCACTTAGATCTATCTACTGGCAGGCTGCTGGAGAAGCTGAGGCGCAGCTGGCGCAGATGAACGGTGCCGGTGTTATTGATGCTGTCATGACGGACGACAGTGACGTATTTGTTTTTGGTGCTCACACTGTCCTGCGCAAGTAAGTTCTCTCTCGTTCTCTCATTTGCATGCTCTGATCCATTTCAAGTTCGACATTTTCAATTGATTTGATGGTCAAACTATATACAGCGAGTGCGATTCAAGAGCACGTGGACTGCCATCTTACTGGCGATGGATTCCTCACCCTTGCCATATGCTGTGGCGGCGATTACGACAAGGTAAGCTGAACCAGTCTGCTGCCAGCCTGGCTGACGAGACCTGCTTTCCAGAAGGGCCTGGTGGGGTGTGGTCGTGAAATGGCGCTTGGCCTGACTCGCTGCGTGGATGCTGGTGTGCTTCGCACTGCCATGTGTGGCAACAGCCTTGATGGGCCTCTGCAACGGTGGCGGGATGCTGCTCGGTATCATCTTGTGGATGACCCCACTGGAAAAATGGGACGTTCTCATCCTACTCTTGCACGCTCGCTCCCTGACTCATTCCCTGATCCACATGTCGTCGACTTGTATGCACGCCCTGCTGTCACTGCAATCACCAAGCTGCCTATTCTCCAATCCCCTGCCCCGCCCGACATTGCTCCACTTGCCTCGCTTGTTCAACAGCTTCTTGGCTGGGAATCGAAGAAGGTCGTTAGCACCTTTCGCTCGACGATCTGGCCTGTCGTGGTCTTGAATGAAGTCCTCGAGGACCTGGCTAATAATTCTCCTGCAAGTGATGAGGTTTGTCGCCGTTCTCCTCTGCGTGGAATATTTTGATTAATGTCAGGTACAGATTGCCCTTGCTCCTGCCTGCACGAGGGCAGTGTTTCAGAGCCATGCTGTGCACCCGAAAAAAGCCCTTGCAGGTGTTCCAGGGCACAATAACGATGTGCCCACTCATGACCTCGAGCAGTCCACACTCCAGTTGCTCGAGGATTCACCTGGCTGCTCTCATTGTGAGGATCGTGCACCGCGATCTCACAGATACGTTCGAGTTTGGCTCGCCGACAAAATTTACGATTCCTGGGTGCAGACAATGATTCTGCAGTCTCCGAATCATCCCAGTACCTCAAACGCTACTCTCTCTTCTGCGACCGGTGTCATTGATCTCACGCGCGATGACGAAGCAGTGGCAGTCAGTGATGTCATGGACCTCACTCAAGATGGGGATGATGTAGTGCCCTGGAGCGCCGGTGCCAGTCATAACTTTATCGATCTTACTCTCTGATACACTTGTTATTTTTCAACCTACTGTATCTAGTGCCCCCTTCCCCCATGTATTTAGTATCGCGCAGCTTGTATAGCATTGACATCATCATCCCAAAACACGAGCCTGTGTGATGGGCTCTCCTGACATCCCATCCTAATTCATGCAGTTAGCTCCACTGTCAATATTCTGTGGACGACGGTCATCTCACGCACGTCCTGGCACATGGCGCACCATAAGCCATCATCAAAGTCGAGTATTGGTATCTACATGCTAGTAATATATTAACTTTGTCTCTAGGAAATCCAAGACATATACGACAAGCTCCGTAAAATTCTGGATGGGCAAGAGTCTGTCAAACTATACCTGGAATTCTTGAAGCACAGCAATAAGGTAGATATGCTGGTTCTGAGGAACACGAAAGTGAGTATTCTCGTTATAGATTAAATTGTCATTAATATTTGTCGCCAGGACGTTCTCGAGGCCCGGACGTCTATATATCATACCTCAGTCACTCTGCAGAACACCTTCATGCACACTGGAACAACTTCCGATGTGTTCCTTCGTGAAAACCTTGAATGGCTTGGTTTAGCATCTAACTGTGCCAAGTTATCTACGACCACTGCCCTCGGTATCGGAGAAAGCATGGCCCCTTGTCAACAACATCTTCGGGCGCAACAGTTGGGGCCGCAGGTGTGGAGACAAAATAACTAGATTATGTAGCGCATACTTGTGTGTACAGTAGTAGATTAGAAAAATTTACTGTTAATGAACTACTGGACAAATGCCTGAGTGAACATCGAAGCTACCTTACTTATGATCAAGAAACCTGCTCCTCAGGGTTGTGGTCCACCGAAGATTTGGTGTGTCCGTTGTTCGACAATGTCAGGACGTGTCGTCAGAAGCTCGCGCCACTTTTTTGCAACGGCGTCGTCCTTGCTCGACAAGTAAGCCCTGCCACCTTTTGTGTAGCAAAAGGCACCACGGGCCAGTGGGTGGTTGAGGTTGCCACCAAAAAAATCGCGTGCATCTTTAGCGTCTCGGGCAGCAGCAGAGACTCGGTGCTCTGCAAGACGGTTCAGGATCTGTTGGTAAGAAAAAATCTTACTATTCTCATCACTGAATGCACGCCAGAACGAGGTGTTGTCTGGGTATCGCTGCCGTTCTTCAGCAATGAACTTGAAGACAAATGAACAGTCAGATAGCATGTGTGACTCGCTGGAGATCAATCATACCTTCCAATTTCCCCATTCTACTCGAAGTGCATCCCATGCTGCAGTCTTGACACCCTTTCCTTTCTTGTAGAACTCACCCCAATACTTGACAGGGATTCCACGACTGTTGACAACAAGTAAGTTCGATTCCTCCCATTCTTCACACAGCTGGTTGATATCTTTCGAGAGGTGGACTGTAGGAGGTGACGGCACAGTTGTCCTGTCATACGAAAACTGCTCTTGGCCAAGGTGCGCGATTCCGAGGTTTTTGGGGGGGATTACCTCTGGAGGCAGAGACATGGATGCTGTCTGCATCATTGTGCGAGGTTTGGACGGCGCGTTGTAGAGAATCATGCCTCTCATGGCGTGATATGGTAGTTTTCACCAAGGAGTATACAGCACGAACTCATAGCATTACTCTGTGCGCTACCCGCAGCTATCTCTATATGAGGCGCAGCTTTCCCACGCAACGCGCGCCATGCGCGCACCATTCCCGCGCTTCACGATGTATACGCGCGCGCGCGTTCCCGCGCTTGCGCGCCCTATGGCGCCAGCCATCCAGAAGCATCCATCCACTGTCCACCAAGCTCCCTAGTGCGTATATTTCCATTTCCTTTATTAGCATAGTTCCACCTTTATTTTTATCATGCATTCTCACTCATATATATATTTACATACCTACTCGGTAGCGCTTCGGCTCCGCTTGACCGCGCTTAGGCGCGCTATATAAGCGCCAGCAGTACATACTATTACGGACCTACTTTTCCTACTTTTCACTTACTAGTTACTACCCACTTACTACTTAGCAGAATATAGTAGAAAGCTATTCCTTTACATTTTGCACTCTTATATCTCTTATCTTGCTTTATATCACTACTTAAGCTTAGTTTCTCATTTCCGCATACGCGCGCGCACTTTCCCGCGCTTCGCGCTAATACGCGCGCGCGTTCCCGCGCCTTTGTACCTTGCGCACTCCTGCGCTTTCTCGCGCTTCGCTTAAGCGCACACTTCTAGATCCTTGCTGCACTCACTTCCCCTATAGGGTCGAACGCACTTGTCTCCTCAAGCAACGCAGACTAGGCAACGCGCGACCTATCAACATTTATAGATACTGCCAGGAGCATCATTTGTTCCTAGTAGTATTGTAGTTTCTACAACTGGAGCCCACCGCGAGGGGAGCAGTCAGCAAGATCTAGTTCCGCGCATTTCGCGCATACAGGTCAATATCTTTGCATTTCAAAAGCTAATCATTTTCTAGTCACGCATTCTCGCGCCTTGCGCGCGCACAATATTCCCACGCCTGTGCGCCTCGCGCGCGCACCTTTCTCGCACTTCACACTATTTAACACATAAAGGTCAATCTCTTTGCATATTCAAAAGCTAACCAATTTCTAGTCACGCATTCTCGCGCCTTGCGCGCGCGCTTTCCCACGCCTGTGCGCCTTGCGTGCGCACCTTTCATGCGCCTCAATGCCTTATAGATTGCCCATCCGCGGCACAGCAAACGCGCCCAAGTTCGACGGCACTACAGACAACCTTGCCGAATTTATTGACACATATGAGCAGCTTGCTGATGAAGCAGGACTCCAAGGACTCGACCGCATCAAAGGTATCATCCGCTACCTTGCGCGCGATGATCGAGAACTATGGGGAGGCATGCCAGAAGCGGCAGTAGATAATTACAGCGCCTTTTTAGATGAGGTGAAGGTAATGTATCCTGGATGGGATGGTAAAAGACGCTACGCGCTCGCGGACTTGCGCGCCATCGCGCGCGAATACGCTAACAAACCAATGCCCTCTTGCACAGAACTAAGCAGTTACCTGCGCGCATTCAGGAAGATTATGCAGCCACTCATGGACGAAGACCGTATTGGAAAGGCCGAACGCGACCGCTTATTCATGGAAGGAATCCCTAGCGATGCTCAGGCGCAAATCCGCTTGCGCCTTATGATCAAGTTCCCTGACCACCACCCATACGACCCATTCCCATTCATGGACGTCTTCGCAGCTGCACAGTTCCTATTACCTGCGCGCGCTTTTCCCGCGCCAAGCGCGCCAGTTAGCGCGCCCATAGTAGCGCCAATTGCTACCTTAGTCACAGCAACTGCGCCAGTGCAAGTTAAGGTGGCTAAGTGTAAAGATCGCTATCATGCAAGCCGTGCAATGCAGGATATGACCATTAGCACTAATGCGACAGCTGGACTCTTCTATCGCACATCCTCAGAAGCTGTACTTGACAAAAGGCCACCAGTTCCTATTCACGCGCCTCGTGCGCGCGCCTTTCCTGCGCCTTCGCGCGATTCACGCACACCTCAACCATCAACTGCACCAGCATGCAAAGCCATACCAGAACGCACCACTTTAGATCACGAACTCGAGCGCGCGCTCGCGAAGCGCAACCAGAAGCGCACTGCAGGCGCCTCTTCACCATCATCCTCAGCAGCACCATCTCCTTCACAATCCGCATCATCACCATCACCATCAACCTCGCCAGAAGTCAGGGATGACTCTAATCATCTATTGCACACTAACGCGCCAGTTGAAACACGCGCGCCTATCGCTATCGCATCGCGCGCGCCCATCGCTATCATATCGCCAGTAGTCAGGGATGACTCTAATCATCCATTGCACACTAATGCGCCATCGCTCGAATCGCGCGCGCCTATCGCTATCGCATCGCACGCGCCTACCGCTATCGAATCACCAGAAGTCAGGGATGACTCTAAACATCCATTGCACACTAACGCACCACTAGAAACATGCTCGCCCCTCGCTATTGCATCGCTTACGGAAGAAACCTCGCCAATCGCACCATCGCCATCACCGCTATCACCACTTGCATCATTAGAGGTCAGGGATGACCCTAAACATCAATTGCGCCTTAGCGTGCCTATAGAGGAGCCTCCTATCGCATCAGAGGCTCAAGTCGCACCTTGCATCAACCAGAGTTTGTCTCTGGAAATTCCAGATGTCACTCACGATCACGCACACATCGCGCTTTTTGCTTCCAGTGACTATCGCATGCCGGTAAAGCATCCGTGCATCATGCTGCCCAACCACCAAGCAGAGCATGTCTCAGGCAACCCTGGCGCGACTCAGGCGCACCATATTGCGCCTGAGGACGCGCAATGCGCGCGCCTAGAGGTATTGTATATTTTTCCTCATCTTGTTTCGCGCTTTTTGTCCCTTTCATGTTTAAAGCTCTTAAGGAGCTATATGACGCTTCCAAACACTTTAGGTTCATCTTCGCACCACCCCTTGTTCACGCGCCATGATTACGCGCATCGCGCAATATGCGCGCGCATTCCCGCGCCTCGCGCATTCATAAATTTAGCAGAGTTTTCACATTATCGTGTTTCAATCACTTCCCCCCTTTTAAATCGCATTTCTTTCATTCAACACAAAACATATTCCAATCAGTCATCCAGGCGCGACTTAGGCGCGCGCCTGACACATACATACGCGCCTAACCCCCCTATTATCACCTTTAACTTCGCACTTCGCACATTGATTCGCATTCTTCGCGCTTTTGCTTACCATGTCAATTTTGTTCCTGCGTGTGCTGATGCGCACTATTCTCTTTCGCCCATGCGCCTTCTGCGCCTTGATATACCACCCTTACAGCCCATTTGCGCAACATTTGCGCCTAATACTTCACTATATACATTTCTCACTAACACATTTACAGAGAAGTGGCCGTTCCTCGCGTGTTCGGCCAATATAATCAAATTCGCGCGAAATCGCACCAAGGCGCGCGCATCGCGCGCATCCTATCAGCTTGTAGGGTGCCCCTACACCCCTTGCAGCGCCTCCCATTGGCGCGCCTTCAACCTGCAGCACGTTGTGCAGGAATTCATTCTGCCAGTTACAAGCCCCCCCCCAAGCGCGCCAGCCTCGCTCATTCCAACCCTACCTTGAGTAAAGTGTCAGCTCGCAAGAGACGCGAAGCGCGCTAGTCACGCGCACTCGCACGCGCTCAAGGAGGAGGATCGTGCGCTTCAGTGGCGCACCAAAGAGAAAGATATACCATCGCTGTTCATAGGATATCATTCGTTTTACCCTGGGTTTCGTCCAGCGCTTTCATTTTCATTTTCTCTCATTATAATGCTGTCCAAAGAACTAATAACACACTGATATATATGCATATAGGAATCACTTAGAAGAACATAGAAAAAAAAAAACAATCATAGAACGTGCCCGCCTAGCTCAATAGTATATTTTCTCTTCGCATGCATGACGTGGCACCATGCTCCTTTTTACCTTAGAACGCGCACATATGCGCGCAGTCTTCCCACGCTCACGCGCACGCGCGCGTGTTCACGCACCTTGCGCGCACATGCGCTTTATGCGCGCGCTTCCCGCGCCTTTCTCATAGGAAGGTGTAGATGTTGACAGCTGCACGAAGAAGACAAGTCGGATAGGACATCCGCAACGTTTACCATTTTCCCTTCATATTTTCACATATAGTTTTACTCATGCTGTTCAAACCTTTAGCAACTAATATTTAGCACGCCTAATAGGACTTGGTTTGGACATGGATTGGATCGCTCCTGGACTGCGCCACTTCGCATCATCCCCACAGAATACAACACATGCGACACTCACGCGCTTTCTCGCGCCTTGCGCGCGCGCACTTTCCCGCGCTTCACACCATATGCGCGCATCCCACCCGCGCCTCGCGCGCCATGTCCATATCACTCTCACATCATCGCCTCACACCCATGGAACACTATTCACCCCAGAGTCACCCTTGCAATTCGCCATGCTACGCTTTATTCCCGCGCCTTCACGCATAGCGCGCGCACATTCTCGCGCCTCGCGCGTACCATGCGCGCAAATTCCCGCGCTTCATGCACATCCGCGCGACAATTCCTGCACTTGCGCATTCATCACCCCACAACCCAAGCATCATACATGCATCGCACTCGCATACTATCACGCAAAATCCTCACCACGCGCGCGCTGAGTGGGGACACTCAGAATTTAAGTCCCTGGGAGATGTAGAGAATCATGCCTCTCATGGCGTGATATGGTAGTTTTCACCAAGGAGTATACAGCACGAACTCATAGCATTACTCTGTGCGCTACCCGCAGCTATCTCTATATGAGGCGCAGCTTTCCCACGCAACGCGCGCCATGCGCGCACCATTCCCGCGCTTCACGATGTATACGCGCGCGCGCGTTCCCGCGCTTGCGCGCCCTAT